GACAGAGAGAGAGAGAGAGAGAGACAGAGAGAGAGAGAATCCAAAGCAGCTCTAGGCTCCAAGCTGTCAGCACAGAGCCCAACGTGGGGCTTGAACCCATGAACTGTGAGATCATGACCTGAGTTGAAGTTGGACACTTAACTGATGAGCCACCCAGATGCCCCTGAATTTCCATTTAAATGGGCGAGCTGTATGGTATGTGAATTGTATCTCAATAAAGCATGTCAGAGAAAACTGAATTCCACTGACAATACAAAAACTTAACTTTAGTCAACAGATGCACAGAAAATGACGCAACAGGATCGATTCCCTTGGATCCTTTCTGGAAAGTGTGAAGCACACTGGAATTTCAAGAAATTGGGCGGGGGAGGCTGAAGGAAAAGCCAGGGCCTGGTGGTCAGCTCTGGGAGACCGCACAGTTCAGAGCCCGGGCTCCCAGTCAGACGGCTGCTCAAACGGGTTCCACTGCTTCCTGTCGAGGGGACAGTGGGCAAGCCCTTCCCGTGACCACACCTGCTCGAGGGGCTGTTGCAGGTTACATGAGATAGCGCAGCATTCTGGAAACGCCAGCTGTAAGGACCACAACAGCATGGGAGGAGGGGCCTCACAGTGAACCTGGTCGGCTCTTCTCAGCTCAGGGACTGTTCCTTCCCATCCTGCCACCAGGGCTGTGCCAACTGCGTCTGCCGTCAGCCACCGAGCCCCTCAGGTCAACACCGCGGGCCCCAGGGGGCGATGCAGGTCTGGGAGTGGGCAGGCCAACGCCAGGCTCCCAGCGATGGGGGGGCCACTCTCCCCACTACCGATCGCCTGCCCTACGACACTCACTGCCTGGGTGCTAATGAAGTGTGCTAACACACTTTCCGCGCGTCACCTCACAAACGTCCAGCCCCTGGGCTCACAGGTCGAGCTGAGACAGGCAGTCTCATTTGGTCCTCACAACAAATGCTATCAACTTTTCTCGCCTCCCCCCTGCGGATAAGTAAACTGAAGTCTATCAAGAGGACCCAGAGTTCTGTTTCCACACACAGTGGGAAGCTCTCTGAGGGCCGCCCCTGCTCTCGGGGTCCAGGTTCTCCTCAGGGGGCCTCCCAGCACAGTGCGGCATGCGGGGAATTGCTTGGTGACGTTTTGGGCTCGATGATGTGCCATATGTGACAACCTGTCTAATGATTCAAATTCTCCAGGTCTCTTATGATGAGCGGTTGGACCAGACAGTTGTGAAGTTCTAGGTAGTTTCAGTAAAACCCTTGTGAGATAATCATCACTGCGACCTCCCCCTGCCTTCCTTGGAAGGGGCTCAAGACATCCCGGACCCTGAGTTCTTAATGTTATTCACCTATCCGGGGCTCTGTGACCCCTGGAGGTCACGCCCACACAAGCATGGGCACAGACCCGGTCTTTGCACCACCACACTCCACGGCTTCATGAAGGAAGTTTATTTACTCTGTCAGCGTGGTCCCCTCCCCACCTCTTCTTGTTTTGGAAAAGATTAGACTTTTGGAGAAAAGCAATGAACTTAAAATAACAACACATTTGGCACGTACTTCTGAAGGATGGGCCTGTGTAAGGTCCTTAATCGCAGAAAAGGAACAGCGCTGCCTCCATCAACAGACACAAATCTGCCTGCTTCCCCCTCCCACCTATTTCTCTCTCTCCACACCCACCCCCAAATCCAAAATCTGGGGATTCATAGGCCACTAGAGGGTCTGCGCCTTCCCTGTCAACAGATTTGTGTGCAGATGGTATGTTGTCCTGAGATAAAGCCAGAAGCATGCTCTCCTTTCATCTGCAAGTAAAATATCAGCTTATTTCAACAGCCGCAGGGCTGGGACTTTACCTTTGACTTGTTGATTCATTAAATATGTATTGAACCACCACAAGCAACATACCGCGGTGGGAAATACAAAAATCAGGAAGACGTGATCTATTAGAGAAATATGTGTAAATACTTTGGTACGATATAAAGTGGCACGGAAGGTCTTAAAATAGAGCCAAAGGCTACAGGAGCAGACAGACCAGCAGTTAACTTCACCCGAGCAGGTATGAAAGCAGGTGGTGTTTTGCCATCACGCTGGCCATCCGCCCTCAATTTGGGGGAAAAAAAAGGAAAAGAGGGGGAGGGCTACACTTCCTTCTCATTTGTGCCAAGGCTGGCGGTGGGTGGGGGCTGTTTCAATGCAGACAGAACGTTTATACTGAAGGAGTCAAAGCAGATCGTGTTCATGTTTTCGAAACATCTAGCCCCAGAGTAAACAAATTCTCTGCTTTTATAAGGCACCCCTGGTACTTGGAAGAAATTACTTATCAGACGCTTTGCTCAAAACTGTTCAATATTACGGCGACTTGCGAGACTGGCACCTTCCCTGTATGTCGATTAGACTGTAAGTAAATGCAGCATACCAGACCATGACATTCCCTTTGTTGAACGGGAGCTTCCAGCAATCTCGGGAAGAGCTGGCTCACCTCTGGGTAACCCTCCAATTGAAAGCTAAACGGAGAGGACCCTGATCTCTCAGGGTTTGTGGGATCGGTGTGCAGCCCTTAAGTCGCCTCTACTGCCCACACCCAGGGTGAGCGAGCAGAGCTGATGACACCACCTGAGTCCAGGCCTACCCAACTGTCCCCTGACGACCACTCGGCTGGCTCTGTGAGCGGGCGAGGGTTGCCATATTAGAGGAGAGAGCTCAGAGCAGCCCCGGAACCTGCCCAGGTCCCACGACTGGCTAAGGTCCTACGTCCTATACCACCTGCCTCTCCAGGTTTGGGTAAGAATACAGATTTGGAACTCAGATCTTCACGCAGAGAGGACAATAACCTAGCCTCGTGCCTCGTACCCAGTCCCACAAAACCGCTATTGCCAGCATCTGCTACAGGATTCCAACAGGAAGTGACTCTAATCCAACACCAACCAAATGCTCATCTCAGATACCCGATACCTGAGGGGGTGTATCACGAACACGGTGTGTTCATGCCTGTACATGTCTAGGCTCTCTCACTGCATTGTTACCTCACCCAAATGCAAAAGAACACAGATCCCACCATCTCAGCTTCCCAAAGACAGGTCCCAACAAACTGGTTACAAACACTTAAATTCTCTGCCTTTGCCAAGGGCCTGTACTCCACCTGCTATGTGAAAAACCACTCCTAGAGCACTGTCCACGGCTCCTCACCTTATGTCCTTTAGGAGAGACCTGTGCCATCAATCCCCTCTCAACCTTCTTCCAAGGGCAATGCTGTCTCTGTAAAAGAATATTTCTACTCTCTCTTATCACATTTTTCTCATTCCCTCCTGTCCTGCCGGATCACTGTGGTCCAGGCTCAGCACTCGAATGCAGGCGCTGGGTCTTTTAACTGCCCCGGGGACACCCCTCCTTCCGTCTGTCTGTCCCACCTTGCATTGTATGACAGTAGGTGATCACCCTCCAGCCACCTGGAGCAGAGAGGCCATCCACTGCCCGGACCTGCCAGTCTTCCGTCCACCTCTCGCGCCCAAAGACCAGTGTAAGCCGGGTGACTTATGCTCCATTTGATAAGACTGGCAGGAAAATCTCCCATAAGCTCTGCCCCGTCGGGCCAGCCGGATGCATGAGGCACAAAGCTTCTCGGTCAGGTTTTGGGTCAAAAGTGAAACAAGAACAAAAAATTCTTGTTGAAGAAAACAGCACACTCTCCACATTTGCAAGGACACTGGGCCAGAAAAGGATACGTGGCTCAGAATCTATGCAGAGAGGGGCGCCTGGGCGGCTCAGTCGGTTAAGTGTCCGACTTCGGCTCAGGTCGTGATCTTGTGGTTTGTGGGTTCGGGCCCCGCGTCGGGCTCTGTGCTGACAGCTCGGAGCCTGGAGCCCGCTTCGGATTCCGTGTCTCCCTCTCTCTCTGCCCCTTCCCTGCTTGTGCTCACTCTCTTTCTCTCCCTCTCTCTCAAAAATAAACATTAAAGAAAATTTTTAGGATCTATGCAGAGGGAAGGGGCTTGAACTCCCCTGATGCAGAAGGTGAGGGGGTACCCATATGCCACCAGTGAGGGCGACACTCCTCACTCCTCCGTCATCGACCTAGAGCATCGGCCAAAGCTGCCTTGCTGTGGCTTCTTCCTAAGAAAACCAGCCACACCAATTTTTTTATTTGGATGCCCAAAAAGGTGCTTGCCAGAGAAAAAAACAAAACAAACCAGGGTGATCTATTCCCCAACGAAGCAACAACTGAGATCCCCTAAACCTGTTACTGTCCTGCCTCACGGGGCTTGGGTACAAGGCCGGTCTTTGCTCAGAAAACAAAACCAGGCAGGTCCATACTTACATGTCGCTGCCCGGGTTGGGTTTGACCGAGTCCTCAGCCGGAAGGCAACACTCCATGATCTCATTGAAGCCTGCATTCCCAATATTCTTGGCAAGCTGCAAAAGCAGAAGTCTATTTCAGGGTACTCAATTATTAATGCATTCCACTGCTGCACACTACTCATGCGTTGATGATTTATTTAATGGCCACTAAGAAATAGAGCAATAAAGTGGTTTGCCGTTAATAAAGATGGACAAAACCCAAACCCCAAAGGTACTCATAAAACTAGAGATAAGAAGCAGCAGGTCTATTACAGAGAAATGTTCTTATAAAATGTCCCCTGGATAAAGCACCGAGGTGGACAGGAAGGGGCAGTAACTTGGTCCAATGTCAGTTTCCACCCTCATCCCCTCCCCCGAAAAAACCTGTGCCCTCACTGAAATGGACCTAAAAAGATCTATTTATGCCAGCAAGGAGGCGGCTCTCATCCAGGGGAGAGTGCTGGGCCAGGAAGTCAAGACTCGGGTTCAAATCACGGTTCTATTCCCTGGCTTTGTGACCACACGCAAGTCAGTTTACCTGAGTTTCAATTTCTTACCAGTAAAACAGGGATGATACCTACCTTGTAAAAATAATAGAGTGGGGCAATTTAGGCAAAAGCCTAATTCGGTTCCATACACCGAAGCACAAAAATGTACTTGTTCCAAATGTAAGGTCCTCATGCAATGATCAACTTTCTTATTCATTAAAATTTAAATGAACACATTTTAATCAACGCTTCCTGAATACGAGGCAGTGTGTTCAATGCAGCTAGACTAGAGAGACAACTGTCACGGCTTGTCTTAGTCAAGCACAATATGGCAACCGGCACTCTCCTGAGTGGAGGCACAACCTGGGTGAGCAGGAGCTCCTTAAAAGCAGGGGTTTAATCATCTTATTTGAGCACCCAGCCCAGCACCTGACAGAGATTAGCTTCTTCAATGTTTAATGAAACCGAACTGAAAGGCAGCACCTGGCCCAGGGCTCTCACGAGAACAGATAGTTCACCTCCCGCGTTGAACAGGGCACAATGGGGCACGTGGAGCCTCTGATATCTCTGTTCTCGAGCAGTGACGCGGACACAGGGTCACAGGGCATGTTCTGGAAGATCAGGCGGCTGCCTGAGCACCCCTTCTCTCTCCAGGGGTAAGTGACTGAAGTGACAGCCAAGGGGATCTGAGTTAGAGGAGCCTGAACTTTCTGGCGGTGAGAAACGTGAAGCAGTGAAATGGGATTGCGAGGGACGCCGCCGGACAAGGGATGTGCGACACCTTAGTAACCGTCCGATGCACTTCCTGATTTTATCGTCCTTGGTAAAGTGAACACGGTGTCCTAGATGGCTCAGAGCACCAGGCACTAAGCAGCCCCACCTGGGCCCTCATTCCCGGCCTGGTGGCCTCAGGCCATTGTCAGGGGAAAAAACCCTGGGGCTGCCTCACTGTGGTTTCCCCAAGAATGAGACTGATGGCCAACCACACCAGGTGACAGCGCCCATGTACCACGGACCCAACGCCCGCAATGATTTCCTGGATCGTCAGTGTCAGATCCGGGACTTAACCTCAGGGTCAGAGCCCCTGTTTGGAGCCAGGCATGGCTGAATGACCCCATCCTTCCGTGTAATGTGGACACCGTGCCCTCGCCAGGCACAGTCGTCTCTCTTCAGAAGGTAAGTGACGGAACGGGCCCCAGCGCCCTTCTGCGAGCGAGGGCCCCGCATGCCTCTGAGTCTGTGGTAAGCAGATGGGAGGTGGGGCGTGAGGAGGAGAATTCCCGCGAATCAGCTGCCTCCCTTCTGCTTGGACTTGGCTGGTTTACTAGGGGACAGCTGGTCCAGGGAGCCACCGCATCCATGCGTCACACTTGCCCAGTGCAGAGAAATGTGCCACCTCACAGTTTTGCCAAGTTGCAGCGAACAGTTCAGCCTGCAGAGAACTCCTTTAGAATCATCAACAAAAGCAAAGCATTTGCAGATGGAAGCTGCAGGGTCACGTCGAGAAAATGCGGGTCCCAGAGGGCCCAGTGGGCGGGAGCCAAGGAACCAGGAAGGCTGGTGTTATGCAGCCCCCAACACACATGCCCCCCTACTCCTGGAGGTCTCCCTGCGGCAGACACGGGGCCAGATCAGATCTAGGAAGGTCTGGGGCACTTTAAGTGCTACATCACTCAGCAACGCAAATCCCAGCCCCAGCTCAGTACACAAATGCACACCGAGACCTCAGATGCACTCGGTACCGAGCATGAGACACAACCCTGCTTGGGGGAAGCTCTGAGCTCAGTCTTTTTTGTTTTGTTTTCTTTTTTAAGTTTATTCACTTATTTTTTGAGAGAGCACGTGCACAACCAGGGGAAAGGCAGAGAGAGAGGGTGAGAGGGAATCCCAAGCAGGCCCCGTGATATCAGTGCAGAACCTGACATGAGGCTCGATCTCCCGAACCATGAGATCATGACCTGAGCCGAAATCCAGAGTTAGATGCTTAACCAACTGAGCCACCCACGTGCCCCAGAGAGAGCACGGTCTAACGACAGAGGTGAACACAGAGAAATGCACGGTGTTGGGGGCTGGGAAAGAAGTCCACACTGAGCACAGAGTATGGAGACAGCAGGTGTATGTCAGCAGGACAGCTGCCTGGTCAAGACGCCCACGACACCACACACACCCTGCGTGGAACCCTGGGTCCCTCTCCCTCACTGCACGGAAGCACCTGAGGATGGGGACAGAGTCGCGTGTTTCCGGAGACTCTTAGCACTGACCTGTGCCGGGCCTACAGACCCAGACCGAGACCTCAGATTTTACCCAGAAATTGTTTTCCGAGTTTGGGGTGAGGATGGGGAAAACCTGCCCGTTTTACTGTTTCCAGAGGGAGGGAAATCTGCTGTGACCTTCTTCCCTGCTCTTACGCTCCCCGAGGGGAGGAGCGGGGCAAATGACAAGAAAGAACTTCCGTGACTGTGGGCCTCAGCACCGCCACACACACAGGAGGGGCTGTGGGCTCCTCCTGTTCCCGCCTGTGTGAACCTCATCAACCAATCTGGCTTCTTTCAACAACGAATCAGACTTTTGATCTCTCAACTGGTTTCAAATCCAGGAGTCGGCTGCTTAACTGAGTCACCCAGGCGGCCCTGGCCTCATTTTTAAAGACAGAGTTCTTGTTTGGGTCAGACACAGTGTATGTAAAGCACCCTAGGACAATGCCTGAGTGTAACAGTTGCTCAATGAATGGTAGCTGGGACCACATTTCTTGCTGCCCTTAGTGCCCTGAGAGCAGCTTCGCTGTAGTCCCAGGGGAAACAGCGGTTCCAGCTGTGAGCTATGAGCTCACACAAGACTTTGGAATAAGATTTTAAAATTACAGACACAAATAAAATTTCGTAATATCAAAATTCCCTTTATTTCATGTTTGAGGTCAAATTGATCATATGATACGAAGACCCCAGTACCAACGGTACTATCTTACACGTGAGCTGGAAATCAATGCTGAAATGATCTGTGTTGGGGCAGGAGAATCTACCTTTCCAAAACCTGTATTTACCAGGAGGGTTTCTGAAAGTGGGTTTGCTTTGAAATCTGAGGACACTGAGCGCACACACTAGAGGGCCAGTTCAAGTGGGGTGATCTCCCAGAACGAACTAGTGCTTCACGCATTCATGTGTTTCCACTGAGTAAGACATGATTCTGACAGCAGGTAGAGGGGAGAGAAGATTACTGCTAACTAGCCACCTTCGCGGATGCCGCCGAAACCCATTCAGGTAACATGGAAATCAAGCATATGCTCTGAAACCAAAATAAAAAAAGAAGGAAATGATGACGTTTCCGTAGCACATGTGTTTCCAAGGGAACAGTGTGCAGATGCGAAACCAGAAAGTAACTTATGGAATTAAGCAAAACGATTTTTATCGTGACGAATACTACGGTGAGGCCATATGGGAGGACAGGAGTGACCATCTATGTGGTGAGAGTCTGTTTAGGGTCAGCCAAGGATGAAAGTCTGCGCCCATCACAGCGCATCACCCTGAGATTCGGGCTCCAGGACTGACTTACCTGAAGGACAGAGAATCACTGCACCTGTAAAGCAACTTTGCCCAGGATTCTCCCCTGGAGACGCTGGGAGTTAACTTTCCAGGCCACCTCTTATCTCCTCTCATAGGGTGCAAGGAGGTTCAATCAACATTTGCTACACAAGAACACACACTACGACAAACTCAAGCAGAGACCCTGATGTCCCTGCTCTGCACATCCTCAATGGTCATACTTGCAGCAGAAAACCGGAGTGGACTCTCCCTGTGGATTCATACGTTAGGACACGTGGATTGTTCTTCTGAAAGGATTCAGTTAAAGTCATTCTGGAGTAGAGAATAATGAGAGCTAATCCTTCATAGTCTTTACTGTGTGCCAACGTAATTCTAAACACACACACACACACACACACACACACAGGTCTATGTGTCAAGCCTTCAGGAGATCTTCTGTTCAAGCATCCAACTGTCTAAGCAGAATAAAAATAACCTGGGTGCTTCAAAAAGGCTTGAACTTCTCATGTTTTAGAAATGAATTCTAACCCCTGACAAACACTCTCCATGCAGTGCTTGACTTAATGGCTGAGCGGTAAGGGTTCTGGGCAGGACATCAGGCTCACTGTCCTGGCACGCGGTGGGTGGGGCTGGGGAGAGGCCCACCTCCCATGAGCAACCAGATGACCACACAGGCAGAGCTGAGGGGCAAGAGGAGGGGGTGGGGAGAACCCCACAAGACTCGGGGGCCTTTTCCCTCTGTTTTTCTGCAACAACTGAGGGTGAGGCAGACCAGGAGAGTCTGAAACTAAGGAAGAGATCAGGTTCTGAAAATACCTGCAGATACTAAATAAGCAGTCTCTGCCTGATGGCTCAAAAGGGCTGACAGCTGGCCAAATGTTAACCCCCACTGTGGAGAGGTGCAGACAGAGGCTCTGGGAGATAAAGACCAGAGTTCTAACCAGGGGTCAGAAGCCACTTCACTGTTTCACCAAGACATGAACTTCTTCCCTTCTACCTTCTTTGGTGTCTTCCTGCTTAGTAGGCAAGAGTCTCATGAAGACCATCATTTTAATTTTTGAGACACATTTAAGCAGGTGTAACAGATGTGCTGGGGTCAAGCCTCGACCAGCTCACGAGAGCCATTATTAAAATTACATTATATAAACTCCTAGTTAAGTAAATTATACTAAAAACAAAGTAATAAGTGCTCAAAACTCATCACCTCCTAATCATTTTACTATTCTGTTTCTGAAGCCACGGACAACCAGTGTTTGTGCGGTGAACTCAGTTACATTCAGTGACTCACGCTGGTTACTGACGATGGCACAGATTTGAGAAAACGGCCCCGGCGGGAGTACAGACATCTGTGGACCGGCTGACTACAAAGCAGGGCTTTCTTTTTCTTAAACATTTGCTGGGGATGGGGGGTGGGGGGTGGAGGGTGGGGAGTGGGGGATAGGGAGGGACAGTAGTGATGCTTAAATGCTCACCACACAGCAGGACAGGCCACCACAAGGACCAGTTCGTTTCCCAGGCTCTTCAGAGGTGAATCGTGAACTCTGGATTAAAGGGTCCCGCCCTAGATCTGGCACTTTAATAACTATATAACCTTGGGTACATTAAAACATTCTAAGACTCAGTCCCTCTGTCATAAAGAGGGGATAAACAGCAAGGTTGCTGGGTTGTAGTGAAGGACAAATGAACTAATACATATAAAGAGCTCTGAGAAGTGCTCAGTACAAAATAAGCAATTATTATGTCACCACAAATCACTTAACACTTCCCGCTGTTTTGAGGAAATCAGTATGGCAGCAGACCAACTGCCAGGGGTTACCAGTGCTTCCTGAGAATTGGTGTTTCTTTGAAAATATACTGTGGGAATCTCAAGGCTAACCAAAGTCAGTTACCCAGGCTACCTCTTGTACACACACAGCTCCACCGCGGAGGCTGAATGCATCACGACAGTAACAAGAACGGCATTGTGGAACCAGGAAGACATTGCCTGAGTCTTGCTGAGTCGCGCTCCATTTTTAACTTAAAGTAATCAGGGACGTGACCAACCGGGCGACCAGAATTCACTCTTGTTTCTCCCGACTTCACCTTTCAAGACCATAAAAGAATCCTTTGCCAAGACCAGGAAGATTTGACAAGATAGTTCAAAATGCATTACAAGTTCAGACCCTGGTTCTAGAGTAGTCATCGATAAAATTTATGGCCCCTTGAGAGGTATACTGACCACAATAATTGATTTCCTGTCAAGACGATTGCTCTTTTCATTACAGTCAACGGCGATCTATATCCACTTAATGTTCACTGCCCAGTGCCCAGCTACACCAAGAATTTCAAACACTGCTTCTGAACCAGCAATCACAGGCTTTGAAAACAGTCCACCAAAGCTCCATTTTAGGTGGCCTCCAAACAGCTAGTGTGATGTGCCTTTTCCTCCGTGGGGCTGGTCTCAATACTCTGGATGTTACTTCACAGAAAATGCTTCGACCTCCCAGTATCCTTCTATACCACGCTGCACGGCTCATATGTTATCACTGAGCCAAAAAGGAAAGCCTTCTTTAGAAACAAAGGCAGTAAAAGCAGAGGCCGAAATCTCACCCAGAGAGTGACAGTAGAGGCAGGGGAAAAGTGGGCCGGAGGCCTGAGCCATGTCATGACCACAGACTCAGCAGGGATCTGCTGGGGGCTCCGGAGAACAAGCCCTCAACTGTCTCTGGGCTTTCCGTTGTGCACGCGTTTAAGGAATGGGGTGACCTAGACTGTGTCGCCATCGTATTCCACGTCGTACACACGTCTCAGCTCTCCTTTTTTGTGTCACTTCACTTTATTCGTTTAGGAAGAAGGTTTTACAACAAAAAGTGCCTTCAACTACCAGTAGCTAAGAAGGAGGAATTACCACTGAGGTTCTAATTGCCCAAACTCATCTGGCAAAAATCAACAACCATCAGCCCAGGGGAATTGCAAGAAAGCAAAATGGGTTTGAACACCAAAATGAAAACTTAGAATTCGGTGCATTCATTTTCATTTCAAAATCAATGATTTGAGAATTACCAGAAGCTCAGACGTTCCCAATACATCTAACGTCAGGGACTGCATCCTGGAATAGTGAACCCCGAGCTCTCGGTGGATTCCGGAACACTCAATACAGGTCAGGATGCCCAGATTGGTGGAGAGCCAGGTAGGATCTGCCAAAGAGAACAGGGAAAGTTGGAGTTCGCAGCAAGTGCAGAGATGGGGTCACAACACTTTTCCCGTATAGTTATTGCACATGGAGTTTTGAGCATGAGCATTTTCTCAACCCTGGACACAGCTGGAGCCCTTCTTCATCACTCATTCTGCATTACCACCCGCTTACACACAATACACACACATGCACCTGTCTGCTCCCCCCCCCTCCATTTATTTACTCATTTATCCTGCCCACCCTTCCGTTCATTACGAACTCCCAAGTGACAGGTGCGTGTCCAAGAATAAACAGGACACAGTGCCCTCTAGTGGCCACAGGCCCCTGAAGGCTGTCCTGAATACAAACCACGCCCATCACCAACCCTGGTCATACCAGCAAAGGGGAGAGAAAAAAACGAGGGCCGCCAGTCTAGTGCTGTATAGGGAACAGACTTAAGACAGGTCTACATGTTCACAAAATGCTAACAATCATGACGGAGAACACACTATGCGCTGATGCCACACTCTGTGCTCAACACTTCGGAGGCAGCAGAAATAGTTCCGAGTGCAAGAGCTTCCGCAATTACAGATGCTGTCACCTGATACTTCTTCAGCACACACGAGAAGGCCAGCAGGCAAACAGGGCAGGGGTCTTCATGGTGCTCAGAAAGGAGAAGGGGCTTGCTCGAGGCCGCAGGGGGTGCGGAGCCAGACGGCAGTCCTGCCTGGGCCCGAGCCCATGCTGGCACCGTGTCACCGAGCTTCTCCCGGAGCACAGCTCCTAAGTCACTGAGCCATCCTACCGTGTGCTGGGTACACAGCAGACACCCAAGGGATGCCTGACACACAAATGCTGAATTTACCGAAAATGGGGCGTTCAAAACAAAACACGCCAGAGCACATTACCCCGGCCCTTGCGTACCGTTCTCTTGCGAATTACCCGCTGCCCTTAGAAACTTGCTGCGGGGAACTATCGCAACCTTGGTCACCAGCGAACTGTCACGTTACTTTTCAAAGTTCAAGTTATAAAAAATTTTATCCATTTGGGAAACTTCTGGGCATCTGTGTTTGCATTTCTTCCATACCGGCCGTAGCACACTTTTGGGAGACAGGAGTATGTTTAGATCACTTTATATCAACTTTCACGTCAGCTATCTTGTCCTACCATTTCCAAACAAAAACGTCCGCAGCTTTGACTTCTTTATGAAAGTGTCTTAAAAATTCCAGTGAAGTGCTACACGGCCCTCTTTTCTTAAGAAAAAGCACAATTAGGGTCACCCGGGTGGCTCAGTTGGTTAAGAGTCCGACTTCAGCTGAGGTCAAGATCTTGGGGTTTGTGAGTTTGAGCCCCACATCGGGGTCTCCTCTGCTGTCAGCCCGGAGCCCGCTTCAGATCCTCTGCCGCCCCCCCC